GCCCTTTGAACTCGAACTCGCGACCTTGCGATTGAGACCCGGGAGCGCTAACCACTGCGCTATTGACCCACGGGTCTATTACACTTATTTATATAATTACTACCATATATATAGAATATTCAACCTTTTATAGAACTAAATAAACACCATTTCTATGTATATAGATTATAGATCAAATTAGAGTAAAAGCTTTCAAGTGATCTATATAGTGAATTTTTGATTTTATTTATTGTAATTCTATTGTTATTACTATTGCTATTATATTACTTCTACTGTATATTAGTATATGCTGCATTTAAGTTTTAATTCAAGTTAGTAAGAGGTATTATAGCTTATGATATTTTTGATATACTATAAAAATACTAATAGTTACTAATATTCATTTTGCTTTAGTATTAACTATATATCTAGTAGAAATTGAAAGCCAACACTAGTTCTAAATATGAAATAACTCTAACTATATATTAGGCAAAAGTAGAAAAACTGTTGTTGGTAAAATAGTTAATTTTCTAAAAAAGCTACTCTGATTATTATTATTAGAGCAAATTCTTTGAATACAGATAAATATACAATTTTATACTTTCATCTTGTAATACAAAATTAAAAAGTTTCTTGTTTCAAGCATATTCTATAATATTAATTCTCTTGCATATTGACAAATAGTGATTGTTATTTTAAACAAAAAAAATAAATTTGCTAATAATATATAATAATGCAATATTTATACTATATATCATATTTTATATATTTTATAACTATTTTAAACATAAAACATTAAGTGCAATAACATGTCTTATACCTGCTATCTAATATATATAATTAATTCTCTTTAGTATTTAGATATTTTTTTTGATAGTAACCAGGTATCTCATATAACAAGTATTTGCATTGTGGTCTTAAGCTTGTTTCTTCAGCACAATTTGCTTACATATTATTAATTTGGCTTATAATTTCTTGTTCTATAGTTTTCTTTTTGAATATTTCTATCGCACTTTTAATTCTTTTTTTACTTGGTGCACTCTGAATTTTTGTAATATTTGGGTTATTTGTTTGATCAATTAAATGCTATTGTAAAGTAATAATGTTCTCTTGATTATGGATTTTGCTATCTTCTATTTCTTTTAAATTATTATCAATGTTTTATTTAGCTAAAATAAAGTCCTTTAACAATCGAACTATTTCATTGTTATTTTTAATTTTCAGAGTAATATTAATTGCAGTTTTAGCTATCAAAAATACAACTTCAAATTTATTTTTTTGAGAAGTAACTTGCTAAACACTTGTATAATAATTGAAACCTTGAAAATTCTTTAAACTTTGAAGATTTAAGTTTACTTTAATTGTAGTATCTATAGATGACTTTAATGCTATAAGAAATAGTGAGTTTGCAAGTGCTTAATTGATAATCCGCCAGTCAACAGAAGAATAAACATAATGTAACATGACACAAATCACTATGTAAATCCAATATAGTGTGAATCTGAAAAATT